ACATAATAATAGATGAAAACTGTGATGTGCAGGAACAATGGCTTGTGTCACTTCATCCTATAAAGGGAATGTATCGTGTTTCCTTTTTTTTTAGATAACTATATAAAAGAGGTTGTCTGGATTTAGGGCCCATTCACACCACATCCAGACCAGACCAAACTGTTTCCTGACTTAAAATGCATCACAATGTATGCCTATGCTATTTCTGACCTCTGTTCCCACTAGCGCAGTCCGTTCCAGACCAGAAAAATACTGCATTTTGTCTGGTCTGGAATGCACTGAAACGCATAGAAACACATCGAAAAAGCATGGAACGCACGTGTTAGACCATTTTAACCTATAAAAAATAACTACGTTTCTAAACGCGCCAAAACGCAATGCACTATGTTCCAGATCTGGTCCGGAAAATGGTGTGAACCCGGCCTTAAGCAATATTATCCATATGTGTTTATGGTTTTTTAACCCCTTCGTGACTGACGACGTACAGTGTACGTCGCCAGCATCGGGGCTGTTTAAACAGAATGTTTCCATGTGACCTATAATGTAATTACATATGAACATGGGATGACCCGTATTTGCTCATTACATACGCAGCCTCCGCTTCCTCCATTGCGGTGCTGCACAACGGTTGTGCTTTAAAGCGGAACTCCAGGTTTTCGAAATGTTAAACCTTTGCAGTGGGGCTACCCCCAGCACTGCAAGGGTTAACTGCTCGCTTTGTCTCGGAGCGAAAATAAAAACATATACTCACCTGATCCTGGATCCTGCTACTGGCTGCTAGACTGGTCCCCTCAGCCTCTTCTCCCCCGGGAAACCTATTAGATATGAAGATACAGAAGACCATTCCACAGCCAGAACAGAGGGGGGGGGGGGAGAGTTCTAAGGACCTGCAACATCATCATTGCTAATACAGCCTATTGGATGTGAAGCTGCAGAGGAACATACCACAGCCAGAGCAGAGGGGTGAGCATTCACTGCGGCAGATCTGAGGATCAGGTGGGTATATCTTCTTTATTTTTGCCCCTAGACCAAAACGAGCATTTAGCCCTTGCAGTACGGGGGTAGCTCCACTGCAAGGGTTAATGTTTCAAATTCCCGGCATTCTTCTTTAAAGTGCAAAACTTTTTTTTAGTTTTGCATAGAGTAAGGGAGGGTTATAACCCCTGCCAGCTTCTTTTTCCATCTGTGTCCCATTGGGAATATTTCCCTTCATTCCTGTCCTAAAGCCACAACATGAAGTAAGAGGAATTTCCTCCAAAGTGGTCACCGGGATCTACTAGTGTCCCCATTGGAAGATTTCCCCTCTATTCCTGTTTTGGTGGCGTATCTCCTATAAAATGTGACTATGGTGTCCTGCCCAGCTCCTGCCAAGTCGGCGGGATGCTTGCCAGAGCGAAAAAAAGTCAAGAGCCTCCCTCTCTTCAAGTGGTGCCCAGGGCCATGCCCTGGACATGCCACTGTCTGGTAACAAACCAAAATGTGGGATTTTCTTTCACTTTCAGTGATAAAGGTCGCCAGGATAAACAGAGACAGTGAATAAACCTAACGGGGACACAGACAGCAATAAAAAACCGTCAGGTGTTCTAATCCCTCTCCACTCCATCCAAAACGAAACAAAGTTTTTGGCTTCACTTGCTCTTTAAAGCTTCTTGCCGTAATGCAAGTCTAATGGGTCACCTGACTTACTTAAAAAAAAACAATGCACCCCCTGTGCGACTGATAGAGTGATTCCAGTGACCCTCTGAGAGCTCCCTCTAGTGGCCAGTCTAGAATTCTCCATACCAGAATACTCCAATACAGCACAAGCATGTCAAAAAAAATCCCAGATCAATAATACTGTAATACCCAGAAATAAGCACACCCCGGAGTACACAATACCAACCGCTCCTTGAATGTGCCAAACAGTTCAGGATTCACTCATCTGACTACAACAGGCTGAAAGCTGACCTGCATTGGCTTCTAA